TGCGGCGACCGACGACGGCGACGACGACGACGAGGGCGAGGACGGGGGCAACGACGACGAGGGCGACGACGAGGACCTGCCTGAGACGGCTTCGGCACCGCCCGCAACGCGTACTGGACTCGCCGAGGGGCCACTGGGGCTGGCGGCGGAGGTACGTGCGCGTCGTCAGCGGCGGGCGGCTCGGCCTGCGGCTCGGCCCGCGGCTCGGGCACGCCGTCTGTGTCCGCTGGCGCGAGACGCCCCAGCCGCCGCAGGCGGCTCCTCGCGACCTTCGGCGGCGGCGGCTCTGCGGCGGCGGCGGCGCTGCTGGCCGTTGGCGGCGCTGGCGGCGCCGCCGCGGGCCGGGCAGCCAGCGGCGGCGCTGCCGCCAACGCGGCGGCCGACGGTGACGCCGAGGACGTCGGCGGGCGCCCTGGGGGCGCCGTTGCCTTCGGGCCTGGCACCTCGGTCGGCGTAGCAGGCTGGCAAACGAAAAAGCTTGGCGTAGCTGGCTGGCGTATCCGGCTGGGTGGCGTGGCAAGCGACGTCTTGGGGGCGGTCGTGGCTGGGGTCGTCGGCGCCGATGGCGTGGCTGAGGTCGCGTCACTGAGCCGCTGCCCGCGTGGCTCCGAGAGCCCTGCCGATCGGCGAGTCGAGCACGGCCGCGGTGTCTGCAGGCATGCTGATCGGAGGGGGCGGCATGTTGATCGGCGGGTTCAGCAGGGCCTCCAGGCGCAAGGCGAGCACGCGCGGCGCCATCTTGCACTTCGGGCACCTCGCGTAGTTGATGTCGGTCCTGCCCAGCTCTAGCACCCTGTAGATGCAGACTTTGTGGAGGCGGTGCATGCACGGAAGGATCGTCATGGGCGGAGGTAGCCCGTCTGCGGGCAAACCGTCATCTTCGTTGGGGTCACCGGCCAGGTCTTGCAAGCAGATCGGGCAGGTGGTCTCGTTGGTAGTGTCCGCGGCCCTCGGTGCCGCCTCGCTGGCGCCGACGGTCGTCGGGTCCGAGTCATGGGGATTGGCGCCCGCCGGCTGGTCCGCTGGCTGGCCCTCTGGCTGGTCTCCTGGCTGGTCCTCTGGCTGGTCCTCTGGCTGCGCCGTCGGCTGGTCCTCTGGCTCGGGGTCGGACGGCGCGCCGTCGACGATCGCACCGAAGCGGAGAGCATCCGCGCTCACGGTGCCGGCCGCGTCGCCGGCGTCGTCGTCCACGCGGCCACGCGGCATTGCAGGTCTCGTAGGCTGGCACGCTCCGACGATAGCGGACGGTGCACAACGCGTTAGCGGGCGGGCCGCTAAGCGATTACCGGGCTACCGCTTGGACCCAAATCAGTACGGGGGCGAGGGGCGATTGTGTCACTAAGGGGTGTGTGAACGTTAGCGAGTCGTTATCCGGTTGTTATCAGGCCGCGTGCGGGTCGCTACCAGGATCACAATGCAATGTTAGCAGGGTCCTGATAACATGTTATCATGACCCTGCTATCACGTTATCAGGCGTTATCATGGTATCCTGACAACTGTCTGATACCACGATGTATCTAGCGGGAGCGGTATCGGGCATCCTGTTAACATGTTATCCGACATGTTTGCAGGAGCATGAAAACATGCCAGGGTAACATCTTGAGACCATCCGGAACAACATATTGATGACATCATGATAACATCCAGATAACTTTCTGACACCATCTCGATAACACCTTGATAACGCTCTGGAACTACGGAGGAGGACGCGTTGGGGGCCCGATGGGCCCGCGTCGAGGCTTGAACATCGAGCCTGGAGGCTCGAGGTTGGGGGCTGTCTGGCCCTCGGGGGGCCCTCCGCGCCGCCGCGGCTGGGCGCGGCTCTGCAGACTGGGTGCGCTCCGGGACCTCCTCAATTCTCCACTTGGCTAAGTCCTCGAAGAGGCCCAGAGGCCCAGGATACACGGGAGACCCACGGGAGAACGATGAGGACTCGGGGACCTCGCGTCTGGGGCGCGGGAGGATGAGAATGGGGGGCAGGTGGGCGAGGAGGGCTGGCGGGTCATCTGACGGGAAGGGGGAGGAGGCGGGCAGGGAGGAAGATGAGTAGGAGCCCAAGCCTAGGGCAGACCACAGCGATGGCGCCGCTTGCGCGGAAGGGCGGGCGTGGCGGGGCGGGGCGGTAGATGGGGGGGAGGGGGGATTTCTGCCGCGGGGCGCGCCCCCCGCGCTCCCGCAGCTGAGCGACGCGCGGCCTCGGCTACGCACGGCGCTGCGCACGTACATTCCAGCCCAGCCATCGCTGCGGGCGCGGCCATATGCAATGTTTTATTTTGACATGCCACGCTATGCCGCCCAACGCCATGCAAGCTGCATCGGCAGCGCTATGCCATGCTAGCAACTAGGCGATGCTCTGCTATCATCGGCCACGCTATGCTATGCGACGCCATGCGGTTCGATAGCCCCGCACCTCCTATCCCACCTCCTCCCCCCGCCCTTCTCCGATCCCAGGGGCGTTCGCGCGCCCGCGGCGCAGGCTGAACTGCGGCGCCTCTCTTCGCTGCGCCCTGGGCCGCGGCGGCGTCCTTGTAGGCCTGCCTGGCGGCCGTGGTGATCATCTCCCTGGGCGCTGTTTCCAGCGTAGTCTTCCTCTTGGTAGTGTCGTGGGCCTTGCCGGCGAAGCGCGCCCGAGTCGTTTTATTTGCGCGCGCCTTCGTGATTGTCGTCAAGTCGCCCCAGCTGGTCATCTTGCAGTTGAAGTTCTTGAAGCCCGCGCCTTTGGCCAGAGGCGGCGCCGCGCCCTTTCCCCCAGGCGCCGCCGTCGTCTCGGGGTTCTTCTCAGTGGACTTTTACCTTCGGGGCCTTCGGCTTCCCGGCGGGCGCGCCCGCGACCGCTTCGCCCCCCGCGGGCGGGTGGGCGGGCCGATGCGCTCGGCCCTCGCCCTCTTTTTTCTTCCTCTTCATGGGCGCCGCGGCGGCGCCCGCTCCATCCTGCACATCGGCGATGGGCCGCGCCTCCTCCTCGCCGCCTTCACCCCCCCACCGCGCCCGCGCCCGCGGCCGCGTCCACGGCCAGCGTTCTTCTCGCGCCTCTTGTGATCCATCATGTCCATGCGGCCCTTCAACTTCCTCTTCTTCTGCTTGCCCGAGGTGTCGGGCGGCTCGGCGCGGTCGCGCGGCGGCGCGCCAGGGGCGATCAGCGCTGTCTCGCCCCCGTCACGGCTGTCCGCCGCGGGCGGCTGGCGGGCCGCAGGCGGCGCGCCCTCCACTGGAGGGGGCGCGTTCACGCGCTAACCTCCCACGATGGCGGCCTGCGCATCGAGCGCGTCGTCGCCGCCGCGCGTCCGCTGGGCGCCGCCGCCCATGAAAGGCAGCATGCCCTGCGCGGCCTCCCACTGCCCGCCCTGCTGGTCCATGATCTGGCGGTGGATGTCCTGATTGCCACCCTGCGGCGCGCGCAGGGCGAGCTGGCGCGGCGGCGCGCTCTCCGCGGGCGGCGCCGCTCCCCTGCACTTGTGCGAGCCGTCCGAGCCACGCAGCTTCGCGGTATCAAGTGGGCAGCGCCTGGGCCCGCCCCCTAACCGCGGCGTGGAGGCCTTCGAGCACATGGCTGGGTGAAGCGCCGCCATCTGCTCGGGCAAGCTGTGTAGCTCCACGATGCTCCATGGGTTTCAGCGGCTTGTCCGCAACCCTGCGGCGCTCGCTCTTGAAATGCGTATACGAGGGCTTCTTCTGGAAGTAGGTGAACTTCTCGACGCCCTTCTCCGTCGGCAACATCCAGAGCGAATTGCCCAACTCGGCCGTGTACTCTCAGACGTTCGCACCGCCGAGCCTGATGAGACGGTTGACGATGATCATCTTCACGGCTTCCGAGGGCGCATCGGGATCAAGCATCTTGTCCCAGTTGTCCTCAGTGAAGAACTCGATGAAGCTCAAGCCACGCGGCGTTCACCTTCGTGGGCTCGCGGAGGATCGCGAGCCCGTGATCGTCGAACTACTGCGCGCCCCCCCCCCCCCCCCCGCGATCCCGCGATCTCCGACAGGGTGGCGCGGTCGTCGGCGCCCATCTGGGCGCCTGCTCCCCGCGCCGTCGCCAAGATGGCGTTGGACTGGGCCTGTGGCGCGCGAACGCGGCGCGGCGCGCCTGCGCGCTGGTCCAGCAGCGCCCGAGACGCCCCCGGCCCAACGCGGACGGGGCTTACCCCTGGCGCGGTTCTGAGCCATGCCGGGCGGATTTCTTGCTAAGCGAAAACTCGCTGCACAGCTGCGGCGAGGGGGTGGACGGGGCGGGGGTGGAGTCTGAGGATGTCTCATGCGAGAACTCGATTCGAACAAGAAGCGCCATCCATCTACTAAGGTCTGAGGACGCATCAAGCGGAAATTCGAGTTGAACAAGAAACGCCCTCCATCTACTAACGTCTGAGGGCGTTACAAGCGAGAGCTCAATTCGAGAAAGATGCGCCCTCCGTCTTCTAAGGTCCGAGGACGTCTCAAAATGGAACTCGATACGAACAGGAGATTCCCTCCATCTACAAAGGTCTGAGGATGTCTCCAGCGAGAACTCGGTTCGAACGGGGCGCGCCCTCCAGCTATTCAAATGGTCCTACTGTGAGCGGGACTGGGTGTGAACGAGTCTCAACGTGAGCGAGGGGTCCCGAGCGTCGTCAAATGTGCATAGGCGTCGTCGTCGTAGTCGTCGTCGTCGTCGTCGTCGCCGCCGCCGTCGCCGCCGTCGCCGTCGCCGCCGCCGCCGTCAGTTTGGAACACAGCGCGCAAAAACGACAGCCCCGCGAGGGCCCGACGAAGGCTCGAACGACGAACGAGCGAGGGCCAAGGGACACACGGCGGAGGGGCCACGGCCGAACCGAGGGACCGAGGACCGACAAGTCGGCGGGGACACCACTGCTTTTCTCTTGGAAAGAACGCGGGCCGAAGTCGCCCCGCTCGAGCGTGGAGGCCACTCAGATCGGTGGCGTAGTCAAACAGCGGGATGGCCGCTAAGCTGAGAAGCGCAATCAAGCAGCGGATGGCCGCTAAGCTGAGAAGCGCCCGAGGCAGGCTCACTTGAGCTCGCTGAAGATATTGTCGTCGTCCGCGTCGAGGAGCTTGGAGATCTCCGACTGCGGGCGGAAGTCGACGAGGGGGCCGCCCGCCTGCGCGGCCCTCGTCTTCGTGGTCTTCGTCGGGTCGTTGGGGCCCTCGTCATCCATGGCGCTGCTGTCGCTGCTTGGCTGGATGCTCCCGCTGCCTGGCTGGCTGCCACCGCTCTCGCACTGCCAAGAGCTGCCCGCCCCCCCATGCCATAGGGCCCGCTGCCGCGGCTGCGGCGCTGGCCGCCTGCCACTCCGCGCTGCTCCCGTATAGGTCACCGTCGTCGCTCGCCTTCCACGCGTCGTAGCGCCCCATGGCCTCCTGCTCCCACGCCTCGTAGCGCTTCCTTTCCTTTTTGCGCCTGAGCTGCTTTGCCGCCCGATCCGTACATTTCGCGAACCTTTGGGTGGTGTTGTCCCTCGTGCGGGCCGTTTTGCGGGTATCCGACAGCAGGGCGCGTTGGTTCACGTTGCCCTTCTTGAGGTCATCGATATGCTTGGCCTGCGTGTTGGTCTTCTTGCGTTGCTCGTCCTGCTTGGTGATGGGTTTGGCCGTGCGCGCCGCCGCGCTTGCTCTGGCCTTGGGGGGCATCGCCGCCCGCGGTGGCCTGGTGCGCGACGGGGGCCCGTGGATGGAGCATGGAGACCCCGAGGTCGCATCTGAAAGGCTCGAGCCGTGGTGGAGCATGGAGGAAGGGCGGGGCGGGGGGCGCGACGTTTCGAGGTCTGAACCATTGCAACAACTCGTCGAATGTGGGGCGGCTGGTTTTCAAAATGGGGCCCTCGCACTGGCGCGGCGGACATTCGTCTTAAACGTTTGCAGCAGTTGCACGCATCATGTCTGGATGGCTGGATGGCTGGGGCTCTCGCCTTGGCACCGCGGGCATTCGTCATGAAAGTGTGCAGCAATTGCACGCATGGAGGATGGCTGGTCTTCAACATGGGGCCCTCGCCTGGGCGCCGCAGGCATTCGTCTTGCACGATTGCAACCGCCCGCCACCCGAGAGGCACAAAACCAATCGATAAATCAGCGGTGGCGGAATTGCGCGGCAGCGCCACTGGGTGCAACAGCGGAGGGGGCCGCCAAGAAAAGAGCTCCCGAAGTTTGGTCCTCGCTCGGCATGCGCAGCGGCTGCATATGGTTGCGTCCTTCGGCAATGCGTTTTTTTTTTTTTTTTTTTTTTTTTTTTTTTTTTGTCATGGCCGATGCGCGCCTGGGCACGCATGATCCATGACTCAAAGTATTGGGCGCGGCCTGCCAGCAGCAGCGTGCGAACGCGATCTTGCATCGCGATTCTGCCGGGCAACACCGCAACGAGCCGAGCCGAGCAACGCGCGAAGCCTAGTTGTCCCGCTTCTGCGGCTTCGGGTACATCGCCAGATGCTCGCGCGCCCACCCCTCGCGCGTGGCCATCGCGAGACCCGTGTGCCACTGCACGTTCGGGTTCTTCTTCCCGCCGCGGCCCCCTTATCTTCCGCTCGCGCGGAGCACGCCGCTGCCTCTGCGGCGGCCGCCCGTGATCACCCTGGCGGCAGGCGGCTGCGGCGGCTGGCCCGAGCTGCTGGCGCCTGGGCTGGCGTCGGCGGCTGGCGCCTGTGCTGGCGTCTGTGCTGGCGGCTCGCCCGAGCTGCTGGCGGCTGTGCTGGCGTTGGCGGCTGGCGGCTGGCCCGCGCTGCTGGCGGTCTCTGGTTCACCGATGCTCTCGGCTGCTGGCGCCGCCTGTGCTGGTGTAGGCGGCTGGCTGCTGGCGGCTGTGCCTTGGTAGGCGGTTGGCGTCTTGGCCGAGCTGCTGGCGCCCTCTGGTTCGCCGGTGCTCTGTGCTGGCGGCGCAGGCCTCTTGAAGCCTCGGGCCTTGCACTTTTTGGGCTGCGGGCACGGGATCCACTTCGGCGTCTGCGGCAACATCGGTTGATGTCGGCCCGAGTCGTTGCATGCGTCGTCGGCTGGGTGCAGGTTGCTGGCGTAGACGGGGTGGCGACTGGCTGGCGTCTGGCGGTGGCTGGCGTCTGGCTGCTGCTGGCTGCTGGCGTCGGCTGGCTGGCGTCGGCTGTGCTGGCGTCTGGCTGGCTAGCATATGGCTTGCCGCTGGCGTCGGCTGGCTGCTGGCGTCGTCTGTGCTGGCGTAGTAGCTGGCCGCATCGTCCGCGTGGTAGCTGCCCTCCTCATCCGCCCGCCGTCGTTGTCTGGGAGCATCGCCACGCGTTCTGGCCACCACGGCGCGCGCTCCTGCCCCCAGAACCGCGCGCAGTCGTGCGCGAACGCGGCCTGCCACTGGCGCTGGCACTCCAGGTGCGCCTCGACCGCCGCCGCGTCGTTCAGCGCTGGGACTGGGGGCCCTGCTGCGCGCCAGTCCAGGAAGCCCAGCGCCGTGGCGGCGTCGTCCGCCATCGCGCAGCCGCCGCCAGCCGCCGCGCAGCCGCCTCCAGCCGCCGCTTCGGCGGCGACGCAGAGCCGTTCTGGCCCTGGCCCTGGCGCAGGGCCGCGCGCGGCTGCCGGGGGGGGGGGGAACAAGATGGATGGGGGAGGGATGGGAGGAGTCGAAAGAGGAGAAAGGAGGAGGGAGCGACGACGACGACGATGTCTCCGTGCTTTCCCGCCTCTGCCAGGTGCACCAGCATTCCACCACGCGACAACCGACGGCACTTGAGCTACGTACATGGACTTATGAGGAGGGGACATAGGCTTTTCCCAAGACGCGGGACCTGAGGGCCCGAGGGCCCAACAAAAACTGGAAACGCCCGTGGATTCCATGACGACGCCGGCAACGACGACGACGCCGACGACGACGACGATGCGGCGGCCCACACGGGGCCCCTTCGGGGGGGAGGCCCCCCCCCTTCCCCTCTTCCCCCTTATCCTAAGGCAGGCCAAGCTTTAGGCAAACGTGCTGCCACCCCATGCGATTTCAGCGGGGAGCCGCTCGACGCGCATCGCAGCCCCAGAATTTATGGAACTTATGGAACTTATTCATTAGCTCTACTCAAGATCATAAAACTCAAAAACAAATAATGAAATAAGTTGTGTAATTCCAATCTATTTTACCTCGGCGCGACTTAAAGTCTTATATGTAGCTCAAGTGCCGCCAGATGTCTCAGGAGACAGCGGCGCCTGCCCACGCGCGGCCGCTGTCATGTTTGAGCAGTTGGGCACCGTGCCCATGTTTTCCGTGCCCATGTCGGGCGTGCCAGTTCCTTACGATGAAGTCGGGCACGTCCCTCTACAGGCAGAATATCCCAAACTATTTAGTCGGGGGAGGATGTTTCCATTACTCCTGACAACTTGTGAATATTGTTTGGGATATGTTCCAGCTGTCGTCCGCCTGTAGGAGGACATGCCCGACGTAACCTTACGAGCTCGGAACATATCCCCATCGCTATGCTTGGCAGTGCGTTGCCTCGATGCCGACCTTAGGGATCCCCACAGGATCTGAGGGCGCATCCCCAGGATTGTCATGACCTTTTGGTTTGCCCACCTTAGGGATAGGGACAAATTCGAGGCTGGCTACAGTCAGCCCGCATAGGAAGGATGGGCAACCTTCCCAAGGGTACCATGGCATCCTTGCCTCCTCGGTCCATCCTTGGCCGCTTTTGTTGGCCGCGCCCCGGTCGGAAAGCTCCGAAACGGCCTTCCAAGGCCCTTGCATCCTTATCGCGCATGCTTGCTACACGGGCTGACTGTAAGGCTCGAGTTCGAAAGAATTCGGGTTTGCCGACGCTTCTTGACGAGCCCGCCCTGGATTTGAGCGGCCCAGTTTTCATGGGATGTATGCAGCGGGAGCTCGCCTCGTTTACTTGACGGCCTCGTCAGGCCAACCCGAGCCCCTTGAACTCGAGTCTTGCGTCTCCCCGATCCTTGCGTGCAGCCGAGACCATGCCAGCGCCCATTGCCCCACGCTCCAGCCCCATGCCACTCCAGCTCCCCGTCCTCCTCCAGGAGGGTTCCCGCACTCAGGTTCGATGGTCCTTAGGACGTGTGTTAGCCCAAGCGCGTGCTTACCCCGTTCGGCTCCTCCGATGGCGCGCAGGCTGTGTCGGCCCTCGTTGCGCAGCTTGCTTCGTGTTGAAGCGCCTCGGTGGGCACACATGTTGGCGCTAGCCGCTAGCACGCGTCCTGAGGATCATCGACAATTATGTTGCCCCCATCGTACTTAAGGACCTCATCCCAGAAATAATTTCGAGCACCCGGAAAAGGGTCGAAAGAGTGTCGAAACAGTGGCGAAACAGTGTCGGAGGTCTCCCAGAGCCCGACACGTGAAAACCGTAGAGTTTCGGTATTTCTCTGGTGCTCGAAAGTCTTTCTGGCGATCAAGGCTAAAGTCGGTTGGAGTACCATAAATCGACAGGTTGATGATGCAGATGGTGATGGTCTTCCTCATCATGAACATGTTCTCCCAGGGGCGCAACGCCGGGTCCGACATGGACGGCGGGTCAAACGGCACGGCCAACCGCACCGGCAACCGCACCGTCGACACGAGGCTGAGGAACCTCTACGGCTCCTCGGAGGAGTTCAAAGAAAGACAGCAGCACAAACATACGGTAGATTTAACTCGGGGTTGTCCCTCTACAGGGGGAATATTCCCAAATAGACATATAATAGTTTGGGGACGATTTTTTGAGTATTTTTTGACCATTTGGATGTACTTTTGGAGTATATCTTAGTTTTGCGACCAAAAGCCCCCTGTAGGGGGACAGGCCCGACCTAACGGTAGCTTCGTGTCGTGTTGACTGGCGGCGACCCCGCCACCGGCGTTCAACTTTGAACGCCGCGGTCGACCCAGAATCGTTCGATGCGGAACGATTTGGACGTTGCGGAAGCGTCCGGTCGTTCAAGGTTGAGCGGCCCCGGCGTCAGGAGCGAACGCCGGGGTCGGCACGACGCGAAGCTGCCGTGCATTGGCGAAGCTCCGCGCGGATTTGTTGGCGTGGCGCTGGACCTCCTGGTGGCGCCTCCGGCGCCGCTCCCAGCGCGCTTCGGGGGGGCGAGGCGGCGGTCCAAGAAGTCCGCGCGGAGCGTCGAAAGTCTTTACGCCTGTGCTGTCGATCGTTCCTCGGAGGAGTGCGACCTCTGGGTACACCTCAGCCTCAACGGTTCGCAGCCGCCGCTGGGCGCGGTGCTGGACGAGGCACGGGGCGCCTCGGCAGGCCTCCAGCTGCTGTGGCACGAGCGCGTGCGGTACGAAGAGTCGCCCGCGCCATCGTCCAAGAACGTCTCCGTGGGGCCGTTCTCCGAGGCCCGCGGCGGCGCGCACGGGTCGGAGAAGGAAGAGTAACCTTAAGTCGAGCCTGTCCCTCTACAGGGGGAATATTCAAAAATAGTCAAAAAATAGTCAGGTGACTATTTTTGGGGTATTTTTTAAACCATTTTGGAATATGTTTTGAGTGTTTTTTATTTTTCATCGAAAATCACCCTGTAGGGGGACGCGCCCGACTGAATCCCAGGCCCCCTCGGGCAATGAGAAGATCATGACGGGAGGTTCCTCGCTTTCTGCGGCCTCCAGGGGCCCTTGTTGCCAGGCATCGGGAGCGTCAAAGACCGACATGCAGGACGTCCAGGGGAACCGGTCGAGACCTCCGAGGGTCGACGGGATGCACAAACCACTACGCCGGGGCTCTGGGGTGCGGGCACACTGGCAAGGGCGCCCTCGAGGGCGCGAAGTGATTCGCGCTTCGCGGTTCGGCTCCGGTTCCTCCTCATCCTCCTCTTCTCCCCTGGGAGGCGGCGCGAGAGCGCGAAGTAATTCGCACGTCGCGCTTCGCGCAGCGCGAAGCGCGAAGTTGGGAGCCCTCGACCGGGGTCCGCTGCTCGTCCCGGGGAGCTCTCGTCGCCACGGCCGCCTTGCCCCCCGAACGTCTGGTCGGAGCGCACCCCGGGGCGAGGCTCGAGTCGGGCCTGTCCCTCCTGCGGCACGGGAGAAGGACCGCAGCCACTGCTTCTCGTCTGCGCCGCCTTCAGCCGGCCGAAGAAGAAGCAGTGGTTGTGGTCATTTCCCTGGTGCCAAGCTCAACGAGAATGACCACGACCACTGCTCTGTGTCTGCGGGCTGGAAGGCGGCAACAGAAGAAAAGCAGTGGCTGTGGTCGTCTCCACGCCCCGTACCTGTGCAGGGGGAATAGTGAAAGATAGAGTAACAAAATAGTCTGGAGACGGTTGTCAGAGCATTCAAGAACAAATTGGGCATTTGTATCATATATTTTGTTTGTCGTCCAAAATCCGCCTGTAGGGGGACATGCCCGACCTATGGCGAGGTGCGGGGAGCAGCGGAACGGGTACCTTCTGGTCCCCCCAGAGGGGGGGGGGGGCTGACGATACAGTGGAGGCCCATGCCAGGAAGCACTTTGCTTGCCTCCAGGGTGCCCCAGGTTTCTTGGGTTTCGATGGGTTTGCGATGGAACGCGTGAGGTTCCCGCACCAAAAAAAACAATGGACGTCCAGGGGTCTCAGGGTTGGGTTTGAGAGCGTTTTTTATTCATTCGCTTGCCGATCGGCGCGGGCCCTCGAACCCCCCCTCTGCCCCCCGTGGAGTGGATCTTGGCTGTTTTGGGCGCCTGTTTCGAGCAGGTGGAGTCTTCCCTCATAGGACGCACTGTCGCAAACAGTCGCACTAAGCAGAGGTCCGCGCCCAATGTCGAAACGCTGAATTAAAAAAAACAACTAACTTTATTGCGGAAGGCTTCCTGTGGACGGGGAGGACGAGGAGGAGGAGGAGGAGGACGAGGAGGACGAGGAGGAGCAGGGGACGGAGGCGACGGAGGAGGAGGACGAGGAGGAGGAGGAGGAGGAGGAGGAGGAGGAGGAGGAGGAGGAGGAGGGGAGGACGAGGAGGACGAGGAGGAGGAGGAGGAGGAGGAGGAGGAGACGGAGGAGACGGAGGAGGAGGACCATCGCACGGCTTCGGAAGGGGTTCGACTTCGCTTACTGCGACTCGAGCGCCTGGGCTGCCTGGGCGGCAACCGCATCGATTGAAATCGGAGGCTTGAAGACAATGGGACTCGTCTTAGAGGCCCGTGGATGTCTCCCCTCCTGGAGGCGCGCATGGGCGCCTTCTGAAAAGTGTGACTTGAATTTCCTGAGACAACTCTTCTGGAGGCTCTTCACAGTACACTCTGAATAACTGCCGCACAGGTGACATGCAACAATAAAACTCTCATCAACACAGCTATCGTAAACAAATAACTTGTGTCCATTGGGCTGCATGCCTAGCTTGGCTAGTCTAGCAGCATTGCCTGGGCACCTTTCCTTTTCACGTGAAACCTTTACTTTGTCGGAGCGGCAACGCGAGTGGCAAACGCAGCAGAGCCAACGATTCTTCTGCCACGTCCAGACGTGCCCGACGCGAGCACGGGCGGCCCAGAGGGGACGGGGAGGGGGAGGAGCCGCCGCAGCTCCAGAGCCCGAGGAGCCCCCAGGGTTAGCTCCGCCTTGCCACACTGCCGCGATTGAGCCAGCTCCGACAGCGGGATTGGCAGCCTTCACAGGCCCCTCCAGGGCCTTTCCCCCAACCCTCGGCGCAATTGGAGGCCACAACGCGAGGGCCTTCGGCACAAACCGAAGGAACCTTCTAAGTCTCTGGTCGAGCAGCAGCTGGGCGTCACGCTCGTTGGCCGAGGGCTGGGGGAGGCGAGAGGCAGCTAATTTGGCAATTCTGTCGGCTGCGTCGTTTCCCGAGGCGTGGCGCCACTCATCAGAGTAGCGCTCGAGGGAATCTACATCTTGATGGTCTTTGACCTTGGCAACTTTAAAACCCCCGTCGCGGCTGGCTTCTCCAAGCTTGGCCATAGCACCAAGCCCGTCATATATATTCTTCCTACTGGCAGGGAGTCCAGAATTGTGGCAGGCCACGACTCCCTTAAAGTCGGAGTGGATCTTAGTTACTCCTCTAAACTGGCTGCTGGCTAAGTACGCTAGGAATTCGGCCGCTGGGGAGGTAGGCGGCAGCGCGCTGCCTACGGGCCCACACAAGTAGGCTTCTATTTCCCCATGGGGGTCACATTTTACCATAGCCCAGCCTGGGGCGTGAAACCAAGAGTGGCCCGATTTGGCCACGCTGCCGTCGACGTAAACCTCGCCAACGAAAACTTCCGCGGGTTGACGGCCGCCACGGGACCAAAACTCAGCCTCATTCAAACCTAATCCTACGGGCCGCGGGACCTTGAAAGGGGGCGGCTCGGGAAAACCCGCACACGTGGCAAAGGCTGCTGGGTCCTTCAGGGCTTCCACATCTCCTTCCTCAAGAAACTCCTCCCGAAGCTGAGCACAATTGGGGCACTCCAGAAGGCGGTGGAATATGTGGTCCTGGGGGGCCCCGCATATGCACGTGGTGTCAATGTCGTAACCCGCTTCTTTGAGTCTACACTTGGTCCATATCGACTGGGTCAGGTACGAGACGAGAACACTTCGATCTTGCTTAGATAATCTTTTATCTGCAACTGCTGCTTTGGCGTGCGACATGTCAATTGCTGGCACTCCTATATTGATGGCCGCCTGCTCCGCCTGCCTGTCGCGCCAAGCTGCCTCCAGCATCTGACGGATGAGCGCTGGCGAACTGGTGGTGAGCGGGTAGACCTCGCCCTCCCCACTCATGAACTCCATGGGGCTGGTCCATGACCAGCCAACTCTAGGCAGACTTAAATAAACCGCCCCAAGAGGACCTCGTATGTTTCCCCATCCCCAGGGTGGCTTGTCCAGGATATTGGCAGCAAGTTGTCGGAGTTCGGGCAGGGTGAATTCTGATTTCCTTGGGTCTTGGGCGGCTCGGAAGACGATGATGCTCCAGTACATGCATGGCCCCAGGGCGGATCTCCAGGTAGGGTCCTCTAGGATAGCGAGCGACAAGGCCCGAGAACGCGTAGCACACTTGGGCCCAGCAACCTTCAAGAACAGCGATTGTGCCTCCTGGAGCTCCTGAACAGACAGCCCAAGAATTTCAGTCCCATAATAACCAGCTTGTTGGAGCCCCGTATTCCAAACCTTACGAGTGTCAGCTCCAGCAGCACGAAGAGCGCGCAGGCGACGAAGTCTCAGCTTCAATTTGCAGGCTCTTCCTTTCAAAGTGTTCCTTCCCTTGCTCCTTAGTCTGGCTCCTGCAGTGAAGTCGACTCCTAAGTTAGTGGCTGCCGTCTCGGCCAGGCCAGCCTGAGGGCCAGCCCACTGGCCAAGCTTGGCCGCAAGATCGGCCTTGATCCTCGGCGTCGAAGCCACAACAGCAGCCTTGTGCTTAGCGATATCACACTTAAGATCGACGACGGTCGACTGATGCATACTGGCTGAGGCCGTGACTAGATCTGCTATCAATTTGTTCGGCTTGCTGTTGTGGCTGGCAAGCAGGAAATCGTCAATGAAAATGGTAGGCTGCACTCTGGGGTTCTGAGCCACCCAGATGTCGATGGGCGGCAAGCAGTACTGCTGTACAACAAAAGTGGCGGCCCAGCAGCCTGCAGCTATACCTCGCCCTGGACAACCTGCAGGTAAGGCTGAGGATCTCGTGGCTAGAGTCCTGGGCGCCTGGTACTGATTGCTAATGATGACTACCAGGGAATCCGAGAAATTGGTATCCTGAGCTCTATCCCTCCAGAGTTCCCTATCCACATATTCATAATAATTTGATAAATCCCAAAGAACAGCTGCTGAGAAAACTTTCTTTTCTCCCAAGAATTGCCCTTCTGCTTGCATTGCTTGCTCGAATACTACTTCCAAAACACCTTTACCAGCTTGAGGAGCTAGATATCTACGAGGGTGAGCACGTTCCCAAGCACGAAACTCAAGCTGACGATGTTTGCCCCAAACTCTCCAAAGACCAGGCATCATACCTATACCCCTGTAGCTAGGACCTGGGTTAGGACCTGGTTTGTGCTTTTCGATCAGAACCGTCACGATGGCTCTTATCTGCGTCGGAAAGGCCCCTATCTTCTCGATGGACCTAAGGAGCCTACACACAATAGCCAGCTGGGCGTCCTCGAGGAGGCTGAAGTGTCTTGGGTGGACCCCGTCCCAGGTCCTAGCTGTGGTACTACTGAATTTGCGACTGGCTTCGCGCAACTGATCTGCTGAAATGTCTGCAAGGTCTTCACCTCGCAGTTCGGCTTGAAGAAGGGCGGGCTCCTCAGGTCGAGCTCGCCACAGCTCACTTAAACGTTGCTGTTCCGCCTCCAACATATCGATCGGACGGCCAGACCAGCGGGCTTTAGCAGAGCTCCAGACTCTTGAGGGTTGCCAAGCCGTCAGTCTACTACTCCATCTGTGGGCCCACCCCACACCTTTCCCCATGGCTTCAGTGACCCAAAGTTTCCAGGATTGACGGTCGTCGGTTCGGTCCCTGGCGATTTCACGGTCCAGAGCTTTTGAAATCTCCGAGTCCAGATCTTCGAAAACGGTGGCGATGAGCTCGAAATTGGGCTCGCTGTGGGTGGCGTCCAAAAGCGTAGCCTGAATACACGTGCGTACATTGGTTCTTAAAGCTTCAAACTCTGCAACTACTTCCAAATCATCCGGCGGTGAGGCGAGGTCGAGCTGAGCCTGATGGAGCTCCTCGAGGTCATGTTCCTCCACTCCCCTCCTGATGTTGGTAACTTTGTTCCGTAACCATCTAAAAGCAGCTGCTGCATTCCTCCAACTCCTCCTATCCTTGGCCTCGACAGCCTTGGCGGGGATCCATCTTATCGTTGGCACCTGAGCTCGGCGCCTCTTACTTTTGAGCGGCGTGTCGGTAACGATACTGAGCGTGGTGGACATGTCGTCCACTAGGTGGCCATACGCCGCGTCCACGGCAGCTACTAAAGCATCAAGCGAAACTGGCTGAAGAGGAAAACACTGCCCCGTGTCCCCAAACACGGCATACTGATCACGTTCCTCAAGAAGTCCCTCCAGACACTCCAGAGCCCCAAGACTTCGAGACCACGGTGGAACCATGTTGCGAGGACCCACAGGGGCGACCACTGGGATGAACTGAGGCTGCTCCAGGACGGGGATGAGATATGGGGCCCCAATCACCATATCCAACACGACTGGCCTATGTGGACTACTCGGGTAGTCAACTAGAACTTTAGGCTGCTTCAAGAAGTGCTCGAAACAGTACGACCCCATGAAATAATCTATAGTTGTCTTTGACTTCTTAGTGTACAAGGTGTGCGTGTCTGGAACGATCACCTGGACCCCAGCCCTGGTCGGGAACTCCGTTTCGATCACTTTGGACGGGCACACGTTGAACTCACCTGCTAACAAGAGCGGCAAGAGATGGTCGGAGGCGGCCTGCACAACACTGGTCAGCACTGTGAGGTTCTCCTCATTCAAGCCGACGGAGTCGGCCAGATACAGCGATCCTAAACAGAAAGGTTGGTGACCTGGAGCCTCAATGCTGACGACAGTAGCCCGAGACTTCTGGAAACCTTCAGGAAGAGGTAGTTTGGTAATTCCAAGATCTAGGCCAGAACGTACTAGTACTCCAGTACCCTGACACGGAAAACCCTTGGTACTCAAAACAGCTGGCGACAAAATTGCTAACCATCCCCTGTTAGCACACCACTCCGTTTCTTTGACCAGATCATATTCCCGAATACGCGTCTCCTGGCAACAGATAATCTGGATTTCCTTGGCCTCCTTGGAAACCATGAGCTTACGGACTCCAGACCAACTGCTACAATTGAGCGTGCATATTCTGAGGTTGTTACCCATCCAACGGCTTAGCCTCACCCGAGCCTGTGCCGCCAGGTGCACCAGCGGCAAGACGGGCCTGGCGCTTGGCGAGGCGGTCCTGCGCCCCCTGGGCCTCCTCGCTGAGGCACTGGATGCCCGTGGCGGTGGAGAGGACCAGGTGCTCGCCGTTCCCCGCGTGCTTGCGAATGACGCCACGGTGGCTGTCATCCTCCATGGCGGCTGCAGCAGGCCCAAGCCCTTCTCCAGGTCGATCAGGTGGAGTGGGCGTCTGGACTGCAACAGGTTGAGCACCACCATCAGGCGCACCAGGTTGAAGCGCTTGCGGCGGCTGCTGCTGCTGCTGCTGCTGCTGGTGTTGCTGCCACTCCTGCTCCAGCTTCTTGTTGACCTCCACGAGCTCCTGCTTGATGTGGGCTGGCAGGCCCTGCGGGAACCTGCTGTCCACAAAGTTGAGCAAGGTCGTGTCTTCCTTGTTGTCAGGGCCATTGAGGCGCGCAGCCGCCTCCGCCACTGCTGCCTTCGCTGCCACGCTGTGCTGAGCCTCCAGCTGGGAGACCTCGGCGAGCAGCTCCTTGTACGATTCCACAGACTTGTCATACACCTCGGCTGCCTTGTCCAGGCTGATGAGGTTCTTTTCAACTTCGCCCTTCTTCGACTCGAGCCTGCGCTTCTGCCGCTGGAGCTGGTCGGCCAACGACTGGGTCTTGGCGTCCAGCGACTTGCCCTCGAGCGCCTTGGTCTTGGCCAGGCGGAGGTCCTCGCAGGCCTGGATGTACTGCTTCCCCTCCTGGCCGACCGTTTTCTTCCAAAAGTTGACAGCCTGAATGCAGATGGCCACGTCGTCCTTGGCTGGGTCAGTGCCCTCGGGAGCGAGGGACGTCTTGGGTCCATGATCCTGCTGCTGTTGAGCCTCATGACCACGGGGGGCACCACGGCTGCGAGACCACCTATTGCGGGGGGCCTGCTGGGTGCTGCCACCATCATCATGTCCTGCCGATTTGTTACCTGCTGGACGGGAATGATGAGACTGAGGCTTGAAACTGCGTCCGCATTCTGCACAATGCTTGTGACCACCATGCCCTTGCCAGGTCCAGCCCCAGCAGCTGGGCGTCTGGCAGTAGCATTTCTTCCACTGCTTGTAGCCTCCCATGGCTGAGGGGAGACTGGGTGCTGGCCGTTCGCCGCGGCGACCAGCAGAAGAAAGAGACTGAGGCAGTGCGTTGCTGGAAGCCTGGGACCGAGGCAGCCTGGCCTGAGGCGGGCTGCCGTTCCACCTCGGTCCTCGAGCCTCTGGAGTCGGGACGGGAGGTAAGCTCCGTCTTGAGCCAAAATGGCTACGGGAGACGGAGGAGGAGGAGGAGGAGGAGGAGGAGGAGGAGGAGGAGGAGGTTGGGTTTCGCGTGGGAGGCTTCCTGTGGACTGGCCTCCGCTGCAGGGGGCAGTGGCGCATCTGCGGCACTCGGCTGGTCTCGGCCCCTCCCCCCGGGCGCTCCCCTCGGCACGCGGGCGCCTCCAGCGCCGGCTTTTGAAGTCGGGCGTGTGTCCCCCCGCCCCCCCCGCCCCCCCTGTGGGGGGGCAACGAAAAGGGGGGAGCTGGCATAAGGGGGGGGATGCATCGACCTGGAATCGGCGATACATCGCCGACAGATCGGCGATAGGCCACCGATGGTGAATCCGCACCCGGATGGGCGGGGTGGGGGCCATCGGGACCCCTTCGGCGATCGATGGGCGCTGGGGGGTCGATGCATCCCGCCCCCCTATGCCCATCCCCCCCCCATATCGTTGCCCCTGAGGGCAGAGGCGTGGGGCACCTCTCCTCCTCCGAGCTCGAGGTCGAGACCCCCCCCCCCATGCCTCTCCCCCCCATCGTTGCCCCTGACCCTGCCCTTGTCGGAGGCTGACCCCTTCGCCCGCCCCCCGCCCTGTCGGGGCGCGGGCGGGGCGAGGGGGGGGATGGATGGCGTACGTAGCGGAGCAGCTGCGCGCGCCCGACCTTCCAGGTGTCCCCCCCCTCCTCCTGCGCTTAGGTCGAGCATGTCCCCTTACAGGGGGATTTTGGGCGAACAATGAAAAAATATCAAACAATGCTAGAACAAAAATTGTCAAAAGTAGTAAGACAATTGCCCAGAGACTGCTTTTTTACCGTTTTTGAATACTCCCCCTGTAGCTCCTCGGAAGGGCTCGGGGGCTCTTGGTGAGGGCCTCTTGGGCGGGCTCGGAGGGCTTCGGGAGGGAGGGCAGCCTTCGCTTTTTGGAGCCACGGGGCCCGAGTTGGCCACCAGAGGCCTCACAGGGCGTTCTGCAGCCATTTGGGCTCAAGCTTTTTTTTTTCAGGGGTGCTTTGATTGAAGAAGGTCGCTTCGACTTCCGAGACGCCCCCTTGCGCTCTCGGCAGGCCCCCCCCCCCGTCCCCCCCACCCCTTGCCGAATCCCGCGCAGAGCCGGTCCCGGGACCCCTCCCCGGGTCCATCCCGACTCGTTCTTCGAGCTGCGACCGGCCGTGGGAGGCCACGAGAACCTCCAGGGCACCCACGGGCCCTCGAGGTTGAGGCCGACTGCGCGGGGAGGATCCACGAGCCTCGACCCTCCTGCCCCGCCCCCTCCCTGCGCGCGCCGCCGGGAGGAGGTGCTGAACGGGACAGTGCTGCCCTTCGTGCACGCGACGCTGCTGCGCACCGAGCTGTTGGAGGGCGGCCTCGAGAGCATTCCACCCCACCAGGCTGCTGGCTTCGGACATGGGAGCCTTGTGCTGCACGACAGCCTCGCGCCGCGTCGACGCGGCGGCGTCCCCAGCGCGGACGTTCACGGTTTAACGCCGCTGGTGGCTAAGAATCGGTCGATGTCGGCTTGTTTTCGCTGTCGGAAAGCCGCGACCACTCACGATTGAATGCTCCATGGAGGACGATGATGATGAGGAGGAGGAGGAGGAGGAGGATGCGGAAGGAGGAGGAGGAGGAGGAGGAGGAGGAGGAGGAGGAGGAGGAGGAGGAGGAGGAGGAGGAGGAGGAGGAGGAGGAGGAGGGGGAGGGGGAGGGGGAGGGGGAGGAGTCAGGAGGGAGGAGGAGGAGCAGGCGGATGAGCAGGAGGAGGAGGGGGAGCAGAGAGGTCAGAGACCTCTTGCATGCCTCTCGGAGTCACATCGGATGTCTCTTGAGAGTTTCTTGGAGTGCTCTCGGGGCGTCTGCGCGGCCTCTCGGCGCTCCAGGGGGCTTCTTGGAGCTTCTCGAGTCTCTACGTGAAGCCTCTCGGGGTCTCCTGGGAGCCTCAGGGCGCCTCTTAGGGCACTCTCGGGAGCCTCTGGGGGCCATCTTGGAGGAGCCCGATTGAATAAGTGTGATAATTTGCTAGCGATGCTTCGCTAGAGCTTGCAACATCGTCCATGAACCAAAGGAGGTTGAGGCCTTCTTAGACGCTCTGACACCTCGCGACCCCTCCCTCCAGTCCCAGGATGGGGGGTATGGGGGGAGAGTCAAGCTACCCTGTCTCAACGTGAACGGATGCCGCCGTTGACAGCCATCGGGAACCAATGCAGACGCTATAGCCAGGTGCGCGAAGCCCGCGAGGTGCGCCGAACATCCCAGCCGCGCCGCGCGCACTGGGTGCGTCACATGGGGCGTCAGGTCGGCCCCCCCGCCGTCCCTGTCGAAAAAAAGCGGCTGCAGCGTGGCGGGGGAGGTGCTGTGTGCGGGGGTGCGCCCGCGCTCGCAGTGCATCTACTCGGTGGGTCTGCGCACAGCAGGCAGTGTGCCGCCCCCCCCCTCCCCGCCATCCTTGGCAAGATGAGTTCGTTTGTTTCCCAGCCCCTTTTGCATTGGGTTCTCGACCTTTGCGCGGCAGCAGCCAGGCGGTGGGAGCCCGCCTCTTGTGTTGGGTTCTCGTTTCGGATAGAGCGCTGTGGTGGCCACTCCTTCCAGTCGTTACTGCCACTCCCCGTGCCTCTCCTAGGTTCGAGCCCACGCGCGCGCGTTTCCGCGCAATTTGACCAAGGCAGCCGAAGTGGATACATCGACTGCCACGCGAAGCGCGATGGTAGAATGGTGCGCGCGCGCCTCATCTCTGCGTGCGCGAATCATGAACACGCATATATAAGCAACATATCGACATATCTATAGTCATATAGCCATGTCGCAGGACTTGGTGACGGGAACATCAATCAATCATATCCGGCTGAAGGCAACCCCTGGGCTGGGATATGCAACTTTTGACAATTTCCGACATGCATATCCTACAAGATTTCCCGGCACAAATTTGGTGACCTGCCGAAAAAGCTGACGACATACCTTTTATGTCGAAGAGCGCCATGAGGAACGTCATGATGTCTCGACACGGAAACAAGATCATGACGACAAAAACAGAATCGGAAAACAACCCGGTGTGTGTGTGTGTGCGTGTTTGTGTTTCCCCTTTCCGAGGGGTATCAAATTTTGGCCTTGGCTCGTCCCGACCGTCAGCGCCGCATTCGTGCAACGCTATCACGGAAGCGGCGTTCGGAGAAAGAGTTTGGCGCCCCCCCCGGCCTGAGGCCGGACGGGGCTAGGATGAGGGTCGATCCGTTCCAGACCGCTCCGGGACGCTCTCAGGGCCGCAGAGCCCGAGACATCCTCCAGAGCCGCCAGACCTCAGAGATTTTCGAGCTCCGTATCTTCACCGGGATTTATCCTCGCCCTGGCTAGGTCTAAATAGCGTAGTCAAGTTGATCCGAAGCCATTTCAGTTGGCGCGGTGATCGGCCTCGTCAGGCAGTAAGTATCTCAGCCGACAGTCGTTGCGTACGGGACAGAGTTTCCAGGGAATCCTTACGTCGACGCCGATGCGATTGAAGCCACTGGCATCGACTCGCCGTCCCGGCCGACGACAGGCAAACGCTGGTGTATAGGTTGTCTCCCGTAGTTTCGGAAGGTGCTCTGGAATTACGCAAAACTGTGCAAAACCATCACAGCAAACATCTCCCGAAACGCAGGGAGGCGGTTTACCACAACTGGCACCAAGCAGTGGCGAGTGTTTTCAGGTACGTTGTGTAATTAAAAAGTTTCTTCAAGCGGCAACTCTAATGCGACAAGAAGTGCCCGAGGGAAAAACCAAGATAATCAAAGATCGCCTGGTGCGAAGAGGCCCCGCCCGGTACCATCGCGGTTTCTGGCGCGACGGTGATGCCCCAGGGCGTATGTTTGTCCCAGTTGTTTTGCCACTGGCCCATCGCCCCTGCTTGCCAGTACATCCCCATCAGCTCCTCAGACTGACTCCCTGGGTACCACGCTAGAACAGAGAAGGCCAGTTGAACAGCAGGCATCCACTTCGTCACACTTGAGCTTTGACGAGGACCCGGATACGGCGAGGGACAGGAAGCAGGTATTCCCCCCTTACCGCAACCGACAGGAGGCCGGGATCCGCCATGTCGTCGACAAGCGCATTTTCGATTGTCGAAAGATGTTGGATGCCGACCTCCGAGTGCGCAGCGAATGCGGACAATCACTGTCCGGGAAGATCGGGCCCATGTCAGAGAACCGTTTGCTACGCGTGTTCGCAGGTGTGTGGGCGTTGCAGCGTCGTTGGTGTGTGCATCGAATGCTTCCCACAATGACAGCACACTTGCAGGGGCCCCACACAGGCCGATTGGGAGGCTGCGCGGCAGCAGCAAACACAGATACATGGGAAACGCATTGAGGAAAGGCTTCAACCACAGATGCATTTGGCCGCCGTTGATCGGAAAGAGAAGTAACGAGCAATCAGGACCCGTGTGATGGAGCTGGCGGCAAAGGACCGCGAAAGACGTCTCGTGCCGAAGAGGCCAAGAAGAATCGGATAAGTCTGAGAACGCGGGAGGCTGAAGAAATGGCTCGCGTCGCCGAAGAAGCCACTGCGAGGTGTCGCGAAAAGCAGAAATTACTGAGGCTCGTCAGAAGGCTGAGACGAGATTACACGCTGAGGAAATCTACGGGGCGCCAGAGGTTGAGATGATGGCCTCGAGCTGCCCGTGACCAAAAGGTACGGTCAGAGCAAAACCCCGTGCAACCTTGAGGGCCAGCCTGCTCCAAGCTGAGAGCGGGACGGCTTCTGCGTAGGCGCCGGGGACCGCTGCCCGAATCCAGCAACCGACCGCAGCGACTGCCATTGCTGGAGGCGGCGTTGCAACGGGAGCAGGTGGCGGGCAGGCGATTCGATGCAACAGGTGCGACTCACAGAGAATCGTTGAGTACGTCGAATGTCCGAATGCCTGCTGCAAAGACCACTACGGCATGAGTTATGCTGTTCCAGCCTGCTTGAGCTTTAATCACCAGAAAGAAGTTCGAGCACCAAGAAAGTACCGACACTGAATGGTTTTCACGTGTCGGGCCCTGTGAAAGGATATTCGTTCGACATTGTTTCGATATTTTCTGGGTGCTCGAGATTGTTCCCGGGATGCGGTCCTTAAGTACGATGGGGGCAACATAAGGCACGATGCTACATCGGCGCCCAAGGTGTCGAGAGAAGAGCCACGAAGCGTGCGAGGGGTTGTCCCCCATGCGTCCGAGTGCGCATATGCGAACCTTGCCACTGACATTTCTCGGTGGGGGGCCGCGAGAATTGTGAGAGGTTCGCAGACATGGTGGGGGTGATGATGATGGTGGGGGTGGTGGTACGACGAGGGGAAGTAGGATGCGGAGGAAGTGGAGGGGGAGGAATGCGGCGGAATATAAGACGAGGAGGAGATAAGAAAAGGAGACGCTCGGCGCTGCGGATCCAAAACGAGGACCCAACACACAGGAGGCTGTGAAGCAATCGCCTGGCGAATGACCCAACCAGATGCAGCTGCGAGTGTCGCAAGACAGGTGAAAACTAGCGGGCGGTGCTAGCAAATGGACTAGGGCGCGCGTGAGAAAGACAGAGCGACGTTGCTGATGCAGTCGCAGGGATCAGCTGCAGCGGGTTACATGTGAATGTAGCTCGTCACGGCTGATCTCAGGTTGTGTCAACCCGTTCTTGGGGAGCAGGCGGGCGCGGTTTAGGGAGAAGCAGGCGGCGGGGCCCGCAGTAGAGCTTTTATGGGGCCCTGAAGCGTGCGAGGGATGTGCCAAAAGGGGCGCGGTCACGCATGCGATTATTGCCAATGGGGCATTCGGTGGAGCTCTCTAGGTGGCCGCGGAACGTGTGAGGGGTGTGCCGAACTCGTTTGGAGAAGGTATTTGGAACGCAGCCTCTTGCGCCTTCTAATGCGGAGCTCTCTATGGGCCACGAAACGTGTGAGGCGTGTGCCGAAATCGGAAAGGTCACGCATCCGATTCCTGCCAAGGGGCCTCAGGTGGAGTTCCTTATGTGGCCACGTGTGCGGGATTTGCCGAAATGGAGGCGGTCACGCATACGATTCTTGCGAACCGTCGGTGAAGCCCCGCATGGGGCCTCGAAAGGTGTGAGGGGTGCGCCGGAGTAGTTTGGAGACGATATGCGAGCGCAGTCACTGGGGCCTTAGATGGAGCTCCCTATGGGGCCACGAAGCGCGTGAGGGGTATGCCAAAGAGTGGTGGGAAGGACATGCGGGCAGCCACCAGGGCAGTAGGTGGAGCTTTTTGTGAAGCCACGGACCGTGCGAGTGATACGCCAAAGTGGGGCGGTGGCCGCATGCGGGCGCAACCACTGGGGCCTCAGGTGGAGCTCCCTATGAGGCCACGAAGCGTGCGAGGGGTGTGCCAAATTGGGGTGGTGGCGGCGTGCGGGCGCAACCACATTGGGGCCTTAGGCGGAGCTCCGCATGGGGCCACGAAGCGTGTGATGGGTGTGCCACAGTGGGCTTGCGGGAGAGAGGAGGCAGGAGGGGGAGGGGGAAGAAGGAGGAGGCGGACGACGGCGCGGGGTGCTGCTGACGCAAGACGAGGACCACATTCGACACAGGATGGTTGGGAACTACTTCAGGTTCGGAACGCCGCGCGCCCCTGTGGCAAGCCAGCTGTGGGGGGGCGGCTGATTCAGTGGCCTGCTGCCCATCCCGCCACCGTCCCTGGATCTCCTGGATCGCCTCGTGGGGGCCTCGGCGGGGTGCCTTGGGGGTTCTCGGGGCCGTCGAAGGCGGCCAGCTCAGCTGCGGAGGAGGAGGCAGGGAGGGAGGACGAGGGAAGGGGAGGTTAGGAGGAGGGAGGAGGACGGCGGAGAAACGAGAGAGAGAGAGAGGAGGGCAAGAGGAAGGAAGGGAGAGAGAGAGAGAGAGAGAGGGAGAGAGAGGTATGCTGGGCGCGCTCGCGCCACGTCTGACGTCCTGCCCCTCCCGCCCATCCCTGCCCCTTTCAGGAGGAGGAGGAGGAGGAGGAGGAGGAGGAGGAGGAGGAGGAGGAGGAGGAGGAGGAGGGGGAAGGAGGACAGAGGAGGACGAACGAGGAGCAGGAGGAGGAGGAGGAGGAGGAGCAGGAGGAGGAGGAGGAGCTCCTCCCACTGGGGGGGGGGCGTCGGCACCGTCGGCCGACCCCCGAGGTTGTCACCCAGTCCCTGGCGCTGGTCGCCATGCTGCGCGAGCTGCGCCCCGCGGAGCAGGCGGGGAGCCTCTTCGCCGGGGAGGACGGCCGCCGCCCCTCGATGAGCGCGACTGCGAGGAGGGAGGACGGCGGGGGAAGGGAGGGGGGCGAGGGAGGAGTGGTGTGAGGAGGGGGAGGAGGAGGGGGAGGAGGGGGAGGAGGAGGAGGAGGAGGAGGAGGAGGAGGAGGAGGAGGAGGAGGAGGAGGAGGAGGAGGAGGAGGAGGAGGAGGAGGGGGAGGAGGAGGAGGAGGAGGAATAGAAGGAGGAGGAGGAGGAGGAGCAGGAGGAGGAGGGGGAGGAGGAGGAGTGCAAGCCCAAGACTCGTCGACGACTTCGTCAACGATGTTGGGATGCAACCTTCCTCCAGGCTCCCTCTTCCTGGGCCCCTGCAAGGGTTCTTGCCCACTGAGGGAAGTGCCCCGTTGGGGGTCCCCGGGGCCCCGCTCCAGGGACAAAGGGAAGGGGCTTCCCTTCGACGTGATTGCGACACCGTGCGATCCCCTGTGTCAGTTCGCTGGCCGCCACCCCCCGACGAGGGCGACTGCGAGGGGGCAGACGGCGGGGGGAGGGAGGGCTGGGGGTGGTGTCGCTGCTTCGGTGGCTTCGCCATTCGGCCAACGGTGCCCACGCGCACTCCTTCTTGCGCCCTGCGAGTACCTCTTGGTGATGCTTCGTCAGCGGGGATGTGCGGGAAAGCCGTGCGGAAGCGGACGGAGGCGAGTCAGCGGGTCTCTTGGGTAGAAGCCAGCGTGGATTCGCACGTGCATGTTTCTTTGAGTCGGCGACGCAAGAAGATAAGTGCGCGCGCATAAGTAGCCTGCTCCTCTCGCTCCCTCCCCCTCTTCCTCTTTCCTTAGCTTCTGCGCTCTCTCGCCCACTCTCTCTCTCTCTCTCCCTCTCTCTCTCTCTTTATCTCTCTCTCTTGCTCCCTCTCCCTCTCTCTCCCTCTATCTCCCTGTGCTCCCCCGGGGCCCTCCGTGATCTCCTGCGTTTCGGCGCAGCTCAACTTGCGCGAGAACCGCGACGAGGCCGCCCGACAGCGAATCGAGGTGTCTGGCAGGGGTCGAACCACACACACATTCAATCATAATCAAGAGATTTCGACGTTTCGAGTCCGTTGCGCTTTCGCGCGCGTCTGTTGTTGAACCCATGACATAAAATTCAAGCGACACCGTCCGACGACGAAGCGAGGTGTCCGGCGGGCGCAACAACAAACCCAGACAAGCATCAACCAAAGTTAGCCTCAAACCGCATATTGTGTTCAGCCATTCGCTCTTTCGCCCGCGTCTGTCGCTGCAGGTCTACAGGAACATCCAAGCGACACCTTTCAGCGACGACGCGAGGTGCTTGGCAGGTGCGAAGACAGACCCGTATAAACATAAGTAAAGGATGCATTAAATTTGACATGCACAGTTGAATGTGTTGCGCTTTCGCACGCCTCTGTAGCTACACGTCCTTAGGAAGGTCAAAACGAGTCCGTCCGACTACGAAGCAATGTGTCTGTGTGGCGGGCGCCAAACCAAACCCACACAAGCGTAAACCAAATGCAGCCTCAAGCCATACATGGTGTTTAGCCTGTCGTTTTTGTCGCGCGCGTCTGCCGCTGCATCCGTTCACGGAAATCGCAGCGAAACCGTCCGACGACGAAGACATGTGTGTGGCAGGTGCCCAGACAGATTTTGACAATCTTACACAGTATATACCTTCACAACAAGACGTGCGTTTGAGCTGTTTTTCACTCTGGCGAGCGCGTCTGTAGCTGCACCCCTGTGAAACAATATGATCGACATTTTCCGGCGGCGGCGCAAGGTGTTTGGCATGTGTCTAAACGAAACACGGGCAACCCACAACCTCAAATCAGCAATCCGCACGTGGCCCTTATGCGTTCACGCGTTTTTTGTCTTCGGATAGGATTGCAACCACATAAAAGCATACCCCATAACTAAGACATTCCAGCTGGATTTGGGGTAAGATCCCCAATATGTTTCAATAGCAGACGAGCGGATTCCAGATCCAGAGGACGTATATGGCATTCGAAGACATTTCGATTCGGACGTGCATACGGAACAATGGATCCCATATCCAGATTGGTTTGTATCGGACTGTGGGTTCCAATGGTTGGCGCGGAACATCAATCAACACGCATTGGGTTCTTCTGCTTTCAAGCACTATTTAAGCATGTAGCGTGCTCCCATAATTCAGGTTGAAGGTCCTTTTGTGAAGGCCTTACGGTCGCTGCCGCCGACCCTGAAGACGGGACCTCCCTTCTGACACGATTTCCGTATCTGTGGGGGAAGGCTTAGACAATTCCTCAGAAGGCCCAGGGACTTCCGAGCCTCCCGAGATTGCCTTCTCCTTCTCACTCCCCCCCCCGGGCTCGCCGCCGAGAATTCTGGGCCCTGCCCACCCACGTCCTCCGTCGGCCACACGGCAAGGGTGACCCCAGGCAGGAGCGGCCCTTGGTGTGCGCGGCTCGGGGGGGCCTCGCGGGGGGGGGGGGGGGGGGCTAGCCCGAGCGCGGAGGCCGCTGCTGCCGCATCGCACTCAGCTGCTGCCGCACTCAGCTGCTGCCGCATCGCACTCAGCTGCGGAGGCCGCTGCTGCCCGACCATCTGGGGACCCCAGCGTCCTCAGCAGCCTCCCGCGAAGGCCCGCCCCTTCTCTCACTCCCCCCCCCCGCTCGCCGCCGAGGGGTGCAGCCCACGAGCGGGGCTTTCGGGTGGGGCTCGCTCGGGCAAGGGCCGTGGCAGAGCGGGCGGCAGCAGCGGGCGCGCGCAGAGCGGGGCGATCCGTGGACGGCCACCCCGGACCCCCAGCGTGCCCGCGCCACAGCATCGCTCGGACGCCAACTCCCCGTGCATTTTTCGGCGTCGCGTGCTGATTTTTTCGCAAGCTGAGCCGAGATGCTCCTCGATGGCCCTCGCCGAGGAACCATGCGATGCCAAGCGAAAGGCCAAGAGGTGCACACGTCCGAGCGATGCCAAGCGAAAGGCCACCCTGGCGCGTGGCCGACTCCGGCTGTGCGAGCGGCGCCCAGCCGCACCCGCGCCGGCCCTTCCGGGGCTGAGCCGCCAGCCCAGACCGCGCCGGCGTCTCTCGCTGGCCCAGCATCCCTCGCTGGCCCTGGTCGGCCGTCGGCCACGCGCAAGAGTGACCCTGGGCAAGAGTGACCTTCAGAGGAGGAAGCGGTACCCACACCGCTACCCTCGCGCGGTTTTTCCTTTTTTAGGGGCCTCCTGGGAGGCCTTCGTCGCCCCCGCTGGATTCGCCTCGAAATCCTAGTCCGAACGCACCCGGGGAGAGGTCTGGGGCCTGCGGGGGGGGGCGGTATTCTGACCCGGACCGGCGCGAACCCCCCCCCCCCCCGACCCTTGCTGGCGGCCCCCCAGGTGGACGCTATGTTTCATGTTGAAGGTCTTAGGTTTTTGGACATGTGTTGCAAAGGACGGGGTGAGTTCCAATGTGTTGGGCGGGAAAATAATACAACGCTGCGTTTGCAAATAGCTGTTGCGCCGGAAATCAACGCAAGCATCCTGCCGCGGAACCCATACTTGTGCAGCTGTGCGTAGCGAGGTTTTGAGTTAGGTTCGGCAATTGACTACAGGCGGTCCATGGGAAAACCTGCCGGAATCTTCAAAAAATCTTCGGCCGGGAACTCAAACTCAAAAAAAATCAAAAAATCTTGAATGGGAAACTCAAAATCCAAGACAACCTGAGAAAATCTCAAACACAAAACCTGGGGAAAACTCAGAACACAGAAGAAACTACAGAAAACCTTGTACCCGAAACCTGGGAAAAACTCAAACCTACAGAAAACCTAGAAAAAAACGTGAAGCTCAAACCTGGAAACAACTCAAGACCGGAAGGTTGTTTTCAAGAGTTGTTTTTAGAGTTCGCCATAGCTTTTTTAGAGTTGTTCATGTTTTGTAACAGTTTTCAGGCGTTTACAGTTTTTTAAAAGTTTTTTTTCAGAGTTTTACAAGTTTTCAGTCGCTTAGAGTTTTTTCCAGAGTTTTTCCCAGAGTTGTTTTCGAGTTGTTTTTAAGAGTTGTTTAGAGTTTTTTCCAGAGTTGTTCCAGAGTTGTACGAGAGTTTTTCCAAAGTTTTTCTCAGGTTTCGGTTTAGAGATTTTCTGGAGTTTTTGTTTGGTTTGAGTTGTTTCCCAGGTTTGAGTTTCAGGTTTTTTCCAAGTTTTTTGTGGGTTTGAGTTTTTCGCAGGTTTGGTGTTTGAATTTGTTGTCAGGATGTTGACCTCCCCAGGTTTTGGTTTCAAGATTTCATTATGTTTTTTTCTGGTTTGGGTTTGTTGGCCCGAAGTGGTCGTGGACCTCCTGTCGTCGCAATTGCCGAACCTAAGTTTTGAGTATTCTCTCCACTGGAACCCGTTCAGGGCAACCATTTGCCGAGATGGGATGGGCGCGCGACGTCGCCATGCGAACGCAGCCATTGGGACCTTCGGCGGAGCTCCGTATGGGAGGAGGAGGAGGAGGAGAAGGACCACTGTTAATCCACGATTCCAGGATGCGTCAATGAATCCTCCCCCAAAGTTCATCGTTTACAGGAACCGACAAGACAGCATTTTCATTCCGGGAAGTCTCTCATCCGAAGACAACCGTTTGACACTCTTCAAATTTGCGTCTTGACATTCTTCAATCTTGCCAGAACCCCATTCCTGGGACTGCAATGCAGCGAATCAATGTGCTGGTTGCATCCTGACAATCCCAAACCGTGCCAGATCACCATTGTTGGGATATCAGCCCTGGAACCCGAGAGTTCATTGGAAATTGTCAAGACGAATGCGCGCGGCGTTGAAGCGAGAGTTTCATATTGAAAAGGAGACGCCTTGCGTCCGTAAATGGTTTGCATTTGTTCAAGGCTGTTGTGCGCGGCGATGAGGCGAAAACCACATTTTGAACATGGCCCTCCCTCCACCCGTGAAGTTGTTGCGGACTGGCCAAAACTATGCGCGGCGTTAAGGCGATAAATACATTTTGAAAACGACCCGCACTCCATCGGCGACCCCGTTTCAAACATGAAAACAG